GGACTTCAACTCCCAGAATTCCTGAGCCAGCCATGCTGAGGGGAAAGAGAGAGGTTTCCAAGCTGAGCCAGGCTGGCTCAGGAATTCTGGGAGTTGAAGTCCACGAGTCATGAGGGGGCCATAGTTCCCCTGTGCTGGCTCAGGAATTCTGGGAGTTGAAGTCCATGAGTCATGAGGGGGCCTTAGTTCTCTATGCTGCTCAGGAATTCTGGGAGTTGAAGTCCACCAGTCATGAGGGGGCCATAGTTCCCCCACGTTGGCTCAGGAATTCTGGGAGTTGAAGTCCATGAGTCATGAGGGGGCCATAGTTCCCCCATGCTGGCTCAGGAATTCTGGGAGTTGAAGTCCACCAGTCATGAGGGGGCCATAGTTCCCCCATGTTGGCTCAGGAATTCTGGGAGTTGAAGTCCATGAGTCATGAGGGGGCCATAGTTCCCCCATGCTGGCTCAGGAATTCTGGGAGTTGAAGTCCACCAGTCATGAGGGGGCCATAGTTCCCCCATGTTGGCTCAGGAATTCTGGGAGTTGAAGTCCATGAGTCATGAGGGGGCCATAGTTCCCCCATGCTGGCTCAGGAATTCTGGGAGTTGAAGTCCACCAGTCATAAAAGAGCCAAGGTTGCCTACCCCTGGCCTAGTAGATTAACAAGCTGCAACGTGGCTGTTACAGCTAATAAATATTGAAGTTAAGTGCAATGATGCAACAGTGATTTAACAAACTTAAATGAAAAAATCCCAATACAGAATCAACAATAACAGCAGCGACGAAATAATATTAAACCCAGTAAAAAACAGAACAAAAAGGGAAGTCTCCATTCCTGCCCACGTCCATGCAGAATAACAGAGTTGGAAGGGACCTCGGAGGTCATCTAGTCCAACCCCTGTGTAAGACAATAGTTGTATTTGCAGAAACTGCTTATAACAAGTTACATTCAGACAACCTAGTAACCCTGGTAAGGATGTGGGTTAGTCTTTTTTTTTTTTTTTTTTGTAGCTGAGCCAGTCAGAACTGGGTGTGTCTAGTTTAACGAAGAGAAGGTTTAGGCCTCTTCTCTGCCCTTGGACTCAGGTCAAGCATGTCATGTGAACACAGCCCATGTCAGACCTGCAAATCCTCCAACTGCAATGTCAAGGCAAGTGTGCAAATTGGAAAGACGAAAAGATGGGCTGGCGTCTCATGACAGGTAATCCTTGGGGAGCCTAACATTTGTGAGACATTTGCAGAGTGAGTTTTGCCCCATTTCACGACCTTTCTTGCCGCATTGTTAGGTGAATCACTGCAGCGGATAAGTTAGTTAACACAGTTGTAAAGTGAATCTGGCTTCTCTTTCTCTCCCTCCCTCTCTCTCTCTCTCTCTCTCTCTCTCTCTCTCTCTCTTTCTCTTTCTCCCTCTCTCTCCCTCCCTCCCTCTCTCTTTCTCTCTCCCTCCCCCCCTCTCTCTTTCTCCCTCTCTTTCTCTGTCTCTCTCCCTCTCTCATTCTCTCTCTCTCTCTCTCTCTTTCTCTCTCTCTCTTTCTCCCTCTCTCATTCTCTCTCTCTCTCTCTCTCTCTCATTCTCTCTCATTCTCTTTTTCTCTCTTTCTCCCTCTCTCCCTCCCTCTCTCTCTCTTTTTCTCCCTCTCTTTCTCCCTCCCTCTTTCTCTCCCTCTCTCTCATTCTCTCTCTCTCCCTCCCTCTCTCTCTTTCTCTCTCTCTCTTCCTCCCTCTTTCTCTCTCATTCTCCCTCTCATTCTCTCTTTCTCTCTCTCTCCCTCTCTCTCTTTCTCTCATTCTTTCTCCCTCTCTCCCTCCCTCTCTCTCTCTTTTTCTCCCTCTCTCTTTCTCCCTCCCTCCCTCTCTTTCTCTCCCTCTCTCTCATTCTCCCTCTCATTCTCTCTATTTCTATCTCTCCCTCCCTCTTTCTCTCTCTCTCATTCTCTCTTTCTCTCTCCCTCTCATTCTCCCTCTTTCTCCCTTTCTCTTTCTCTCTCTCTCCCTCCCTCTCTCTCTTTCTCTCTCTCTCCCTCCCTCTCTCTCTTTCTCTCTCTCTCTTCCTCCCTCTTTCTCTCTCATTCTCCCTCTCATTCTCTCTTTCTCTCTCTCTCCCTCTCTCTCTTTCTCTCATTCTTTCTCCCTCTCTCCCTCCCTCTCTCTCTCTTTTTCTCCCTCTCTCTTTCTCCCTCCCTCTCTTTCTCTCCCTCTCTCTCATTCTCCCTCTCATTCTCTCTCTTTCTCTCTCTCCCTCCCTCTTTCTCTCTCTCTCATTCTCTCTTTCTCTCTCCCTCTCATTCTCCCTCTCTTTCTCCCTTTCTCTTTCTCTCTCTCTCCCTCCCTCTCTCTCTTTCTCTCTCTCTCCCTCCCTCCCTCTCTTTCTCTCTCATTCTCCCTCCCTCTCTCTCTTTCTCTCCCCCTCTCTCTCATTCTCCCTCTCATTCTCTCTCTCTCTCTCTCCCCCTCTCTTTTTTTCATCGCTGTCGTAACTTTGAACGGTCCCTAAATGAACCCGGGGAAGCCGAGGGCTACTACCTCTACCATCCCTGTCTTCAAATTCTATCCCAAATTCTTCCTTCTCCTTCCGTTGTTCCTCTCCAAGCAGCCCCGCGCAGCTTCGTTTCCTGCAAAGAAACGTGTGTCTAACTTCCCGGGTCTGATTTTATTTTTATTTTATTTTCTCCAGCACACACACAAACCCCCTCCGTGCCTTTTCCCAATCCTTTTTTTTTTTTTTTTTGCCAGCCCTGGGAAAAATGAATTATTTCCTTGGAAGGGAAGAGACGGCAAATCCACTTGGGTTTCACCGGATCCATCCCAGCCTGCGGTGGAGCAGAACCCCACCGGCTTCTGTCGAGAGGTCATCGCATCTCCTGCAGCCAGCACTCAAGGGTGTGTGTGGGGGGGGGGTTGCCCCCTTCTGGCTTCCTGACACGGATGAGTTATTGCCCTGAGGTTTCCTTTCCTGTCTGCGTCTCTGCCGGAGGAGCAGAAATTTCCTTCTCCTCTCTGTTCTCACCTCGGCAACCTTCACGGCTTCTCTCCCCCAGCCCGGGGAGCTGAGCCTTCGGCAAGGAGGCAGCCAGCCAAGGAAAACACAGCAAAGGCACCTTGAGGCTTCCTTAGGCTAATCCAGGGCTTTTCAACCTTTTCACCCATTGCACCATTTTTAGGATATGGCAACATCCGAGGACCACCTGTCGCCTAGCAAGGTGTCAAAAACTTGATGACCCAAAAAAAAAAAAAAAGGAAAAAAGTGATAAAGTACAGGTAGTCCTCGACTTACAACAGTTCACTTAGTGACTGTTCGAAGTCACAATGGCACTGAAAAAAGTGCCCCCCGAGCCACAGCCGAGCAAGACACCTGCCTACCCGCCTGGCGGTGCTCTTCCTCCTGTCCGAGGTTTTCATGGTTGTGAGCGTTTCTGTTGGGGATTGGCAGCAGGGGTGGGGTGGGGGATGTTCGGTTTTTATTCCCCCCCCCCCGTCTGCTGGGTGGTTGCAGCAGGTTTTAGTCACTTCACGTGATCCTGGGACACTGTGACCGTCATAAATAGGAATCAGTTGCCAAGCATCTGAATGTAAATCACAAGACCCTGGAGATGCTGCAACATTCCAGCTGATCGGCGCTTCTTCTGGGCTCAGCAGAAGCACCAGGATCAGTGCTGCTTTCCAGCTGTTTGGTGCTTCTTCAGGGCTCAGCAGAAGCACCAGGATCAGCACCGAGCTCCAGTTGGAGCCTGGCACTGATCCTGGTGCTTCCGCTGAGCCCTGACAGCCCTGAAGAAGCGTTGATTAGCTGGAAAGCGGCACTGATCCTGGCACTTCCGCTGAGCCCTGACAGCCCTGCAGCTCCAGCCGTCTCTCGCTCAGGCTTGTGCAGTGCTGCCACCGGTTCAGCTCATTCCCCTCCCATACTACCACTTTTCTAGGATGGTCGCGTACCACCTGCCAGGTGCCAATGTACCACAGGTGGTACCCGTACCACTGGTTGAAAAGCCCTGTGCTAAGGGGTCGGTAACTGAGATTGGGGGATGCCACAACCGGGTCAGAGTTTGGGGGGGCACCAAGGTCAGGGAATGGTCTGCGGGAAATTGGCTGGCTGAGAAGGCCAAGGAAGAATTTAGGAAACCAGAAGGAAGAGGCTGGGAATGAAAGAGAGGAGGAGGTTTGGGTTGGGCCTCCCTCTCCCGATCGGTTAAATTTGGGGCCCTTCCGTGACATCGCGGGTCTGGGGGGGGGGCAAGATGGATGGCTAATAAATGTCACAAATAAATCCACTATTCAAGTATGTAGGGGGATGTTGGAATATATGTGTACTTTTACTGCGTAAAATGCAGGCCGTCCTTGACTTACGAGCACAGCTGAGCACAAAATATGCTTCCGTTGCTAAGCAAAACCGCCATTAAGTGAGTTTTGCCAGAATAGAATAGAATAGAATAGAATAGAATAGAATAAACAGAGTTGGAAGGGATCTTGGAGGTCTTCTAGTCCAGCCCCCTACTGGAGCAGGAGAACCTATTCTGTATTCTGTATTCCATTCCATTCCATTCTGTTTTATCTACAATCTGTTAATTCTATTCTATTCTATTCTATTCTATTCTATTCTATTCTATTCTATTCTGTATTCTCTATTCTATTCTGTATTCCATTCCATTCCATTCTATTCTATCTACAATCTGTTTATTCTATTCTATTCTATTCTATTCTATTCTATTCTATTCTATTCTATTCTATTCTATTCCATTCCATTCCATTCCATTCCATGTTTTCTATTCTATTCCATTCCTTTCTATTCCTTTCCATTCCATTCCATTCCATTCCATTCCATTCCATTCCATTCCATTCCATTCCATTCTATTCTATTCTATTCTATTCTATTCCATTCCATTCCATTCTGTATTCTGTATTCTGTCCTATCCTATCCCTGCGAGGCGTCTTGCCCGGGGCGGCCTGTCAAAAGCGGCCCCGCCACGTGCGCAGCCCGAGCGACCCGGCGCTCGGCTGGGACTTTTCGGCAAGCGAAGCGTTTTCAATTTCGGAGCCCGGCGCAGCGTGGCCGCCTGATTGGCCAGCCGGGAGGATGCCGGAGCTGCCCATTGGTCGTCGAAGATGCCGGCTCGGGCGCTCGGCTCCGCCCAGCGCCTTAAATACCCAGCGGGTCGGCGGGCTCCCGCACAGCTGGCTCGGCGCGCGCGCGGGGTGGGAGCTGCGCTCGGTGGCGCTCCGTCCGCTCCCGTCCTGCCGCGGCTTGGCGGGGTCCCCGACGCGCCCCCCGGCTTTTTTTTGTGGGGAGTGGAGGGGGGGGTCAGCCATGGCCTTCACCGTGCTGGGCCCGGTGGCCGCCCACGTGCTGTACCCGGAGCTGCGCCTGCTGTCGGAGGAGGAGGAGGAGGAGGAGGAGACGCGGAGCGAGAGCGACGCCTCGGAGCGCTCGTACGGCTGCTGCGAGGGCCGGGCCCGGGGCCCGGGCGGGCGCGGGCCGGTGGTGGTGGTGAAGCAGCGGCAGGCGGCCAACGCCCGCGAGCGCGACCGGACGCAGAGCGTGAACACGGCCTTCACCGCCCTGCGCACCCTCATCCCCACCGAGCCGGTGGACCGCAAGCTCTCCAAGATCGAGACGCTGCGCCTGGCCTCCAGCTACATCTCCCACCTGGCCAACGTGCTGCTCCTGGGCGAGGGATCCCCGGACGGCCAGCCCTGCTTCCGCGCCCTCTGCGGGGCCAAGGGCGAAGGAGGCGCGGCCGGACCGCCCCGCAGCATCTGCACCTTCTGCCTGAGCAACCAGCGCAAAGGGGTGAGTTGCGCCCTTCTCCCCCCCCCCCGCTCTGGGAAGGCTCTGGGGTGCTCTTGCGGACGGGGGACGGGGTTCGGCAGCTGGAAGGGCCGGAGGGGGGGGATCCGAAGGGTTCCGTTTCCGAACGACAGCCCTGCGAGGGAGGAAGGGGGAAGAGGGAGTGGCTGGAAGAGGAATTGGCTCCGAGCTCCCCCCTCCCAGGGGCGAGGAGTTGGGTGGCTTGGTGGGATTTGAACCTGGAGCTCTGGAATTGGAGTCCTGCGCCTGGTCCTTAGAATAAGTCCTCCTCTTCCCCCGGAGTGGCCTATAGGCTGGGCGTTTGGTTCTTTCTTTCTTTCTTTCTTTCTTTCTTTCTTTCTTTCTTTCTTTCTTTCTTACTTCTTTCTTTCTTTCTTTTCTGTCTTTTCTTTTCTTTCTTCTTTCTTTCTTTCTTTCTTTCTTTCTGTCTTTTCTTTCTTTCTTTCTTTTCTTTCTTCTTTCTTTCATTTCTTTCTTCTTTCTTTCTCTCTTTCTTTCTTTCTTACTTACTTACTTCCCTCCCCTTTTCTCCTCCCCCTCTTCTTGGTTTCTATTTCTCCTCTCTTTTTCCCTGTCTCTCATTCTCTTTCTCTCGTTTATCTTTCTTTTCTCTCTCTGTTTTCTCTGTCTCTGTTTCTCCTCCACTCGTTCCCATTCTCTCTCTCTTTCTCTCCCTTTCTCTTAGATTTCTCCTCTCTCTTTCTTTTTCTCCCCCTTTTTTAATCTGTCGCTATTCCACCTCCTCCCTCCTCTCCCCTCCCTCTCTCCCTCCCCTTTTCTCTCTCCCCCTTTTCTTGGTTTCTATTTCTCCTTCACTCTTTTTCCCTGTCTCTCATCCTCTTTCTCTCGTTTATCTTTCTTTTCTCTCTCTCAGTTTTCTCTCTCTGTTTCTCCTCCACTCGTTCCCATTCTCTCTCCCTTTCTCTCCCTTTCTCTTAGATTTCTCCTCTCTCTTTCTTTTTCTCTCCCTTTTGTCGCTATTCCACCTCCCTCCTCTCCCCTTCCTTCCTTCTTTCCTCTCTCCTCCCTCCTTTTCTCCTTTTCTTTGTTTCTATTTTTCCTTCCCTCTTTTTCCCTGTTTCTCATTCTCTTTCTCTCGTTTATCTTTCTTTTCTCTCTCTCAATTTTTTCTGTCTCTATTTCTCCTCCACTCGTTCCCATTTTCTCTCTTTCTCTCTCTTTTTCTTAGATTTCTCCTCTCTCTTTCTTTTTCTCTTTTTTGTCTTTTTCTTTCTCTTTTTTCTCTCCCTTTTTTCTCTATTGCTATTTCACCTCCCTCTTCTCATCTTCCTTCCTTCTCAACAAGTTATAGAGTTGTGGGACTAAAAGCAATGCAAAGAAGTTTGTAAGGAGGAGAGAAGCAAAAATTAATAACATCTGATTAACTGTGCAACTAACCATAATAATAAGCAAGCTAAGTCCTTATTTTGCCTTTGCTTCTTTGGCTTTCTGACCCTGTTTTTACCGGCTTGGAGTCATCCTAAAACGGACTAGTAGAAGTGAAAATGAATAAACAGGGAAGGAGGATTCTGGACCATGTACAGAAGGTCTATCTCCTGTTATTCAGCCCTGGGTACAAAATCGCATTTATTTATCTATCTGACTTTATTAGCCACCCAAGTCCAATAGACACTGGGCAGCCTGCGAAATTGCAGAATCCATAAAAGCAGATAAAAGATCAAAGCAAATGGACAGCTCTGATCAAAATAACCTTATACTCTGACACCACCAAGATCACACAAAACAGGCCCCAAACAATAACTCCAGACCTTCATCTATTAAGCTGAGAGTCAGAGTGGCTGGCAGTGATCACACAGCCTGCTTAATTAGGTTGCAGACCTAGCATGGACAACGTGCTGATCGGCGTCATTCTTGGTGTTATAATTCAATATTTGAATCATGCTCGTCTGTGCCATTTTCAAAGGCGGGGTTCCTTTGCCAATGAGAAATCAAACCTGGTTTGTTCAGGGCGATCCTGGCCTCTCTGTAAACCAGTGTTTCTCAACCTTGATAACTTTTAAGATGGGTGGACTTCAACTCCTAGAATTCCCCAGCCTCTCTGTAAATCAGTGTTTCTCAATCTTGGCCACTTTAAGATGGGTGGACTTCAACTCCCAGAATTCCCCAGCCTCTCTGTAAATCAGTGTTTCTCAATCTTGGCCACTTTAAGATGGGTGGACTTCAACTCCCAGAATTCCCGAGCCAGACCCTCGTCTTAAACTCAGCCTGTCTGACTGATGTTGACAAAACGGGGGAATTAAAAAGGGGATGAAACTTGATTTTCTGTTAACGAGCAAATAGTGAATGACCATATTGATGGTCTTTAAAGAGTCCTATAACTTTCTCACCTGGCACACACACAGCCTAGAATTTTTGGGCTCAGTTGTGGTCGCCAGTCGAGGAGTGCCTGTGTTGTGTCCACTTCCAGTCACTACCATACAAAAAAAGAGGTCGAAATCTTAGAAGGAGTGCCGAGAAGAGCCACAGAGATGATAAAGTTTCTGCAGGCTAAATTGTATAATACATGATTGCAGGAACTGGGGAGGTCTAGCCCAGTGATGGCGAACCTATGGCACGCGTGCCAGAGGCGGCACTCAGAGCCCTCTGTGTGGGCAAGCGCGCCATGCCCCGGAGATGGCAACTGTCCCTCTTCAACCAGCTGACCACTAACTCACCGAGGTCCTACATGGCTGGATGCATCCCACTACCCATGTGCTTGCTGGCCTCTGTGTGCAGGGGCCGATAGTGTCAGGCAGCAGCCCCCCTGGCCCCCTTTGCCCTGTGACAATGGCACCCCTACCCTGCCTCGCCTTGCCTCGCCTCACCCCACAGGACGAGCCTCCTGCCCACTGCCCCACCTGCTAGAGACCCCCTGGATCTCCCCCAGCCCTGCCTGGCCCCCATAGGCGTCCCTCCCCACGAGCAACATTGAGATGATCACGCCCACCTTGGCCACACCCACCCAATCTGCCATGACCACCACAGCCACGCCCACCCAGTGGGCTACGCCCACCTGGCACCCTGCGATAAATAAGTGGGTTTTGGGTTGCAGTTTGGGCACTCGGTCTCTCAAAGGTTCGCCATCACTGGCCTAGAGTGACATGAGACGACTTCCAGACACACAATCTTGAATGATGGGTTGTGTCCCAAATCTCTGAAAGACAAGTTAGAAGTGGCTGCTGAAATATTTCACACTCATATCTCTTCTTGGTAGATAGGCATGTAGCTGGACCTTTGATTAGATCCCCGTTAATTATCTGTTTTGCTTGTTTTTAGATGCAACCTCGCCTGCCAAATATTTTAGTCTATGCAGCCCTGATCGAAAATTTCGATGCAAATTCCATTCCCACATGCCAAACATAGGAAGGGTTGGGTGGATCTGATGTGGGTGTAAAAAGAGGAAGTTTGGATGTGCCAGAAAGAACAAAAAAAAAAAAAATCTTGTTCTGATGTTTGGGAAGAGAAAAAAATGCATGAAGGAAATTTTCGTGTAGGTTTTGCAATTTACGACAACTGGTGGGCATCCTTGTGTGCCCACTACTCCACTTTTGCCAAAAAAAAAAGGAGAAGAAAAAAAAAAGGATAGACATTTGGGCTTACACACAGTAGTTAACGAAAAACAGGCAGTTCCCCCCAAAAGGCCCGAGGACAATGCGTGAAGCCATCTTAACTGAAAAAAGTGTGATTTCACTTAATTACTTCAGCCATCAATTGAAACTAACTAGTTTAATCCCCTCAAAAAGGCAGGCTAGAATTTGCGGAAAAGGTCCGATAGTGGAGAATAATGACAATCTTGGTAGTTTCTGTCTGAAACGCAGCTGAGTGCCTAGACTGGTTTATTTATTTGTATCCTGCCTTTATTAGTTTTGCAAATAAGTCAAGACGGTGAATATATCCAACACTCCTTCCTCCTTCTCCCCACAACAATCCTGTGAGGTGGGCTGAGAGAGAGGAACTGGCCGAAAGTCACCCAGTCCGTTTTCATGGCTAAGGCAGGACTAGAACTCACCGTCTCCTGGCAATTGACCCAAAGTCACCCAGTCCGTTTTCATGGCTAAGGCAGGACTAGAACTCACCGTCTCCTGGCGATTGGCCCAAACTCAACCAGTCTGTTTTCATGGCTAAGGCAGGACTAGAACTCACCATCTCCTGGCAATTGGCCGAAAGTCACCCAGTCCGTTTTCATGGCTAAGGCAGGACTAGAACTCACCGTCTCCTGGCAATTGGCCCAAAGTCACCCAGTCCGTTTTCATGGCTAAGGCAGGACTAGAACTCACCGTCTCCTGGTCATTGGCCCAAAGTCACCCAGTCTGCTTTTATGACTAAGGCAGGACTAGAACTCACCGTCTCCTGCTGATTGGCCCAAAGTCACCCACTGGCTTCCATGCCTAAGGTGGGACTAGAACTAGCCTGGTACCTTAACCATTAGATCAAACTGGCCTAAGTTACTAACATAAACCGTGGTTTGCTGTCCTAGCTGAACCAGGATTAAAAATAGCAGAAGGGAAATCTCCACTATAACACAGTTTGAGGGGGGTCACCTCTTAATCAGGGGACTAACACCATGCAACTTGCAAAGGATAATTTTTGAAAATGCTGGAGCTTGGATGAGTGGGAATGTCAGATTTATTTATTTTTTTTATCTGCAATTTTATTGTCAAGAACTCCTCCGTCACTGAGAATGTTAAAAAGTAAGTTAGAAGTAAAGGGATTGGATTTTAGCTTCTCAGTAGCCCAGGTTAACCATCTGAGGCTCGTGAGGAAGGACGATTACTAAGCTGTTGTCTTAATGTGTTCTTTTCCCTGGGAGAGTGGAATGAATAGAATAGAAGCTGGAAGGGACCTTGGAGGTCATCTAATCCAACTCCCTGCTCAGGCAGGAAACCCTACACCATTTCAGACAAACAGTTGTCCAGTCTCTTCTTAAAAGCTTCCAGTGATGGAGCATTCACAACTTCTGGAAGCAAAGCTGTTCCACTGGT